CATCCCTTTTCCGTAAAAGGGATGCAAATTAGACACGTCGCAATTGCAAATGAAGCGGGGAATTAAATCCTCCCTGCTTCATTTGCATAAACATGGCTGCCGCTTTTTCCAGCTCGGAGCTTTGCCGGAAAAAAGCACCAGTCTAGACGCGGATCTTTCGGAAAATAAAGCCTTTTCTGAAAGATCCCTTATTCCTTATTTTAAGAGGGATAAGGGATCTTTCGGAAAAGGCTTTATTTTCCAAAAGATCCGCATCTACACTGGCGCTTTTTTCTGGCAAAGCTCTGAGCTGGAAAAAAGCGGCAGCCATTTTTATGCAAATGAAGCGGGGGGGATTTAAATCCGCGCTTCATTTGCAATTGTGATGTGTCCAATTTGCATCCCTTTTACGGAAAAGGGATGCAGTCTAGACACAGCCTAAGGGTTTAGCTGTACAGAGGGAGGACAGGGAACTGCAGCTCCCCCTCCCCCTTCATACAGGATCATCGCTGGCTGTTCCCCTTCATCAGGGAGCGAAAGGAAAGTGCACAGTTTGCTGCATTCCTCAAGCTGGCCAGGGAACACATGGGGAAGATGAACCAGGACCTTCCCCAGACCTTGCCCTGGCTGTTCACACTGGAGCTGCAGTGGCCGTGGAGAGGTGCTCTTCACATTGCCCCAAGCTGTTGAGGTATGAGAAGCTGAGGTAGTCTTCACTCCCCGGGGAAGCCTGCATAAATTAAATAAGTTAATGGAGATTGCCTATCTCCTAGAGCTGGAAGGGACCTTGAAAGGTCATTGAGTCCAGTCCCCTGCTTTCACAGCAGGACCAAGTACCATCCCTGACAAATTTTTGCCCCAAATCCCTAAATGGCCTCCACAAGGATTGATTTCATAATCCTGGGTTTAGCAGGCCAATGCTCAAACCACTGAGCTATCCCTTCCCCTGAAGGCCTATTCCAGAGTAATAATTTAAATTAAGAAAACCAAAAATTAATTGAATTAAGGACCCGAGCAATGCCGGGTAACTCTTCTAGTAATAAATGATGCTAAAAGAAATAATCTTCCAAGAGAAAACACTGAATACAATATTGTTAAGAACAGTTTTGCACTGGAAAGATTATGGATTTGATGACCTAATAAGTTTTCCCATCTCAGAACTGTATCATTCCAAAATAACTTCACCTCATTTGTTCTCTTTGTGTTTGCTGTTCAGCAGATCCATAATTATGCTAACAATATAGCTTCTTTCTGTGGTCTCCAATGTGCAAATTATGGTGCAAATTTATTCATCCTTTAAAAGTATGTTGAACACTTCCCCAGATGGGGTTTTGACAAGAACAAATTTAAATGTTCAGGCTTAGAACTTGTTAAGGAGACACAGTCAGACACCTCTGATTTTGCATTAGAGGCAAGAGGACAATATGTTATTCTGAGAATATCCAAGGAGACGGATTAGCAACATGCAACAAATAGTTTTCTACAAAAAGCTGGCAGGATAATAGGCTCTCCCAACACAGAATGGTTAACCTCCAAATGTACTGAAGGATCAGTCCAGATGCTTATCCAGACTTCATCTAATTAATCAGAACATCATGACTCTGTAAAACTACACTGTAATTTCACACAATTACCATTTTCTGCCCTTCTTTCTTTCCACATCAGCCAGAAATACCATGAGTCTTGACTCTCTGGGACTGATTCTCCTCTCCCTGACACCAGCATTAAACAGAGTGACTTCACGGAAGTCAATGGTGTTTCATCAGTACAAAACCAGTTTTGAAAGCCTGCTCTTCTTGAGAGTGGCACGTAAAAAGCAACTCTTCAAAAGCAATTTGTGAAGCTCACCAGCAGCTTTTACTGGTTGTACAAAATCTTTGCACAATGCTGCATGTTCTTGAGTGCCATCTACTGGCATATCCTCTAAAAACTATTTACATATACCTTTTGTAGAGCACTCTGGCCTTGTCTCTGCTTATGGGAGGATTGAGGCTTCAGTGATCGATCTTCCAGGGTTCGATATAGTGGGTCTAATAAAGACCTGCTAAATCAAACACTGAGGGCATCCCCATTGACCACAGTACTCCTCATGACAGCAATTCTCCTGTTGACCTCCCGTTGTGGGGCCACCCCAGAAAATCAGTGCAAGTTATGTCGACTCCAGCTACGCAATTGCATATCTTTTATTGATTTTCTCTACCAGTGTAGACCTCGCTTTTCATAACAGATCCTCCCAACTCCCATTGGGAGTTTTTTTATTTGCTTCAAAGGAAATCAGATCAGGCCCTAAGTGAGAGCAGTATCAGACCAGCAGTATCAGGTCCCAGTATCAGGACCACTACTTTCGCAGAGACTTATGAAAACTAAAAGTGATTTAACCAACAAAACATTAACCAACATTTTTAGAACCTCCCAAAAGAGTAAGTTCTTCTTTTTCAGAGTAAGTCCATCCATCTTTCGTTTATAGTCAGACACACAGTAGGATAGATCTATATCTCAGCTTGCCATGAACTAAGTATTCACATAGACACTTATTTAATTTTTTAATGCTGTCACCAAATTGTTAATATCTGGTATTGCTTTTGTAAGTCTGATCCCTCCCTTGTAAGTGATTAGAACCAAAACAAGAACATCAATCATTCAGTTACTAGGAGCTTGAAAGTATAAATAGGCTTAGGTCGCAAAATTTTGGAATGTGATTTCAAGCATCATACAATTCAAGAGTGTTCAGATCTGCACCTTTGTTTCCATCCATTATAAGGGACCATTTGCAAAATTCAAAACCAGATTTTGAATGTCTTGAAACTTAAGATCCATGGCATTGGTCCAGGCCCCTCTTTGCTTGGAAGCCAACCAACAAGATTTTTTTTCAGAGTCCATTGGTATTAGGAGGTCATTCTGATCTTCCTTATCACTGACAGAATGGATGCATAGGGAAAAGAGGTGCATCTGTGAAATACTTGTGTATCGATAGGCAGAAACCTACTGAAATTAAGTAATGAGATGAGAAAAGACAAATGTTCTTTGTGTTTTACTGAAGTTTGCACTCTTTTTGTTTGTTTGTTTGTTTTTATTTTGCATTTTAGAAAGTTCTAAACTACAGAATGCTGGTCGCAAACAATCCGTCTCCAGGAGCCTGAAGCATCTTTTCCATTCTTCAAACAAGTTTGTGAAGACTCTAAAACGGTTTGTTGTATTTCGTTTTCCAAAAACGCTAAGTTAGCTGCAAATGGGAGCTTACATACCAAAAAGACTGGCAACTCAGACATAACTACGGCCAGGTTCTCTTGTTGCTTAAATTGCAATGAGTCAGAAGTAATCATAATGAAATACAAGGACATATAAAAAAACTGGTGTGACTGGAAATTGAACTTGAGTGGGTATCTTTCCATTGTCTCACTGGCTAGGGACATAGAACCTTGTGGAACCTTGTATGCAAAACCACAGTGCTGTTATTTAAATGTTTTAACATGCTGGTTCCATTGCTGCCTCAAAACTGGAATTTCAGATATAAAATGTAGGGCTTAGACATCCTGCTTAAGCACATTTATAAGTCTCCTTCTCAAGCAAGCAACCCACCTGAGAGGTGCCTAATATTTTTGGCTTGTGCTACGACCTTCGTGACCCAGGCACGACTGAGCCTGGATGCTTTGGTTTCAGTAAATGAAAGCTACCCATGCCGGATTACTTCTTCTTTCATCACCAAGAGCATTCAGTTTGCTTTTTCTTCTTTGTATTTTGATAAGCGTTTTATTCTTCCAAAAGAGCTCTCTAGGGTCTTTAAAGCCCCTAAAACGACTGGTTAATGTATGTAACTAATTACAAGAGTAAATATTGAAAGGAATGATTTCTATAAACAGCTTTGCAGATATATTGGCCAAATTATACCCCAGAACATTCCTGTAAATCCATCCTAACTCTTTGATTTCAATGGAGTTACTCCAGATTTTTGCTGGTGTAGAAGAGAGCAGAACTTGGCCCATTATTCGTACACAATACTAACATATACATTGATTTCAGAAAGCATCATGGCTCCAATCATGCACTATTTACTCAGGCAAAATTTCCACTAAAACTGAAGTCAATGAGAGGTTTTACGTGCACAAGTTGTGCAAATCAGGATCCTAGGTGACTATGTGATGGTAGTGTCCTTGTATTTGGAGCAGTACATTTCCTATGACCATTTTGCAGGAGTCACTGAGTGAAATTCTATGGCCTTTGTCAAGGAACAGGTCAGATTAGTGTCCCTTCTGACCTTAAAATCTACGGGTCTATGTCTTTGCCTATGCAGGACACGTGGAGCTGGTTTTGATAATTTTTTAGACTCTGATTGCTTGCTTTCTTGTTTGTCTTTCTTCCTTTCAGTGGACTCTACATAGCTGTCATATTTTACTACAAAGACAACTTGTTAGTAACCAATGAAGATCAAATCCCAATTGTGGAAATTGATGACTCTCACACCAGTTCCATTATGCAAGATTTTCTGTGGTTCACAAAGGTAACAGGCACCTAATTTCAGATACTGTCTCTCAATGGCCTGCGCCAGAAACAGGCCCACCGACAGGAAGTAGGAGTGGGCAATTACCCAGGGACCCAAGAGATTTAAAAGGCCCCGGGGGAGCAGGGCAGGGAGAGAAGTGGCAGTACAGTAGAACTAGAAATTGCGCCAACCTTAATATATTTCCAGAGCAAAATATGATAGCAGTGAAGACTCAAAGCGATGAAGCATCTTACTTTTTGCTTGGGTTATTTTTTTTTCTTTCTAGCATTTTTTAAGGGATAAATCCTGTTTAGCCCATTGATGGGCATGGAAGGCACTGGTCATAGTCAAATTTATTCACTGAGATGTCTAATCCCCCGTGACCCTATCTCCAGTTAATTATTTAGGGGCTTCTGGGGAAAGAAGAAAGCAGTGAAAGAACATTAAATATTGACCAAAAGTTTCAGGGGCTAGTGTTTGGACTGTCCAAGATTAAAGACATTGTCACGTTATTTCTGAAGACACTAAATCAATCTTACATGAAAATTCACTGATGAACCAAGATACGTGCATGCTGTGTATGGAATGTTCTCTCTGTAGCTAGGGATGATTTCTTTCTCTCGTGCACACTCTCTCTTTCTCTCTAATCAATAACTACCCACGTTAGCCCCACCCACAGAAACTCAAATTGAACAATAGCTACGGATTTTTCCCAAGCCAAATATGCTTTTATTTTTACTGTCGGCTTTTCAAGCATGGAAAACACAGGGGATTGAATGGTGACATATATTTTGCAGCTGTCTTGTATGTGGGATGATATCAGATGGCTGAGGCAGAATATGTCTATATCCGTGTCCTCGTCAACAGCACTTCAAGCCAGGCAAAAGATGATTTCAGCAACGGCACAGTTACAGGTTAGTTGCATTGCATATTTTTAGTGGTGTATTTAAGTACATTTCCTGGGCTCTGAGGGAAGCTGCTGCCAGCTGTTCTCTGCTTTATCTCATCTTTGAGAGCAAGAGTAGCATCTGCTCTGAAATGAGCTGATACACCGATATCACCTGCTGGAAATGAGTGATCATGCGAAAAGTAAACATAGGGAAAGGAAAAACAATGACAGAGGAAGAAACAAGCACAAGGCAGAAAATAAATATCCTAGATAAGTCCAAGATTTTGCAGGTAAGGGACACAGGAAAAGAGCAGCGATCATAATCTTGTGATACATTAATTCAAATGCCTATGGAAAAGGCCTGTTACTTGTGTTACTGTAGCACCTACAGGCCTGGATCAAGATTAGAACCCCTTTCTGGTGTAAGGTAACGGGCACACAAAGAGGAGGAGACAGCTCCTACCCCAAAGAGCTTGTAGTAACATGGCAGACAAAGGTTTGGGAGCATTGTTGTCTCCATTTCACAGAGACATGAAGGCTGGGCTCCTCCGAGGAACCTGAGGGAATTAGATATCCAAATCTCATTGCATGTCAATGGAAGCCCAGGTTCACGTGTGAAGCTTGTGGTGGGAATTGAATCTAACTTTTCAGAGTCATAGACTGGTGGTGAAACCCCAAGGCCATCCTTGCTGGCACTACGCTTACAGAATTAAATAGAGATGGCCAGAAAAAAACCCTGAATGGACACATCAGTAACCCTTCCTTTTTCCGCATCCTGTGTGTGATTTGTCTACGTAGTCTGTAAACTCTCTGGAGATAGTGCAGTGTCATGCAGAAGCAAGGCGTCCAACACAATGGGATTCCTTTCTCCGTTGGGGTCTTTAGATGCAAGTAGTCTCAGATGAGTAGCTGTGTTAGTCTGTATCTGCAAAAAAGAAGGTATCCTGTGGCCCTTTAGAGACTAAAGTCTGGTCTACACTACAGCGGAAGGTAGAATTAAGATACACAACTCCAGCTATGTTAATTACAAAGCTGGAGTCAGCATATCTTACATCATATTTCTGCGCCATCCACACAGTAGAAGGTCAATGGGATCAAACACTGCCATTAGCTTCCCTTAGTCCTCATGAGGACAGGAGTACCGGTGCCGACGAGGGCACCCTCTAAGTTCAATTTAGTGACTCCTCACTAGACCCGCTAAATCGAACTTTGAAGATCGACCGCAGCAGATCTTATGTTCTTATGTAGTGAAGATGTGGCCTAACAGATGTATTAAAGCATACGTTTTCATGGGTAAAACCCATTTCAGGATTCCTCATTGTAGATGCAAATAATTAGTGATAGCAGTGATAATCCTAGATCTGAGGAAGCTGGTGATGAAATAAATTACTTACCTGGGGTTTTTATACACCAGAGCTGCCAATGAAAGTATTTCTCTTCCTTCTATCCCAGGCACCAGGGCATTTGAGTAGTTCACAAACATTAATTACTGAGCCCATTTCACAGGTAGGGAAACTGAGGCACATAGGAATTTTTTTTTTAAGTGACTTGCTCAAAGCAGAGCCATGGTGGGAACACAGCTCACCTGCGTCCCAGCTATTGGGTTGCCACATAATCATTCTTCTCCTTACCCCAGATCACTGCAATCACTGAGTTTTATCGCAGCTGTTACCTCCTAGCACTGTGTGAGTATTATTGTGCATATCTTTAGCTTAGTTGTATGTCTACCTGCAATGAAAGCTATACATGAGACAAGCATTCCCAGGCAGCCACCTGTCTTGAAAGATAACCCTCACACACACACACACACGCACACGCACACGCACACACATACATATCCACAAATGCCTGAAGTACAGATTTGATCCACCTTCAGGTGTCTTTGCTCCTTAAGCTGGAGATGCAAGTCCCTGCTCAAGCTGAAAACTTGCACAATCAAGTCACTGTGCTAAAAATAGTGTAGCTGTGGCCCTGCGAGTGACTAGATGGGCTAATCACCTGTTTGTGACCAGAGGTATGTACTTGGGGCAGCCAGCCTGTTCTGCAGTTCATCCCCCTACAGCAGTGATGGGCAACCTGCAGGCCACTTGGGTTCTATGTGTGGCCCACAAGACATTTTGTTTACTGTTGCCCACGCACGGGGCTGCCAGATCCTGCTGGTTTTCATCCACGTAGTTTTTTTTCCTGCCAGTATTACGAAAGTGACACACACGTGAAACAAGGGCACGTGATGTGTGGTGGCTGCTGATTGCACACAACACCGAGGGTATGTCTACACTACAGAGTTTTGTTGGAAAAACGGCCATTTTTCCACCAAAACCTGAGTTACGTCCACACTGCAATCGCGTTCTGAAAGTAAATCGAAAGAATGGAGGGGTTTTCCGGAGTTGGTAATTCTCTTTCTAGGAGGAAGAAGCCTTTTTGCAAAGAGCTCTTTCAGAAAAAGGTGTGTGTGGACGGGGAAGAGGGAGTTCTTTTGAAAGAACAGGAAAGAGGAAAAAGCACAGGTGTCCTGGTGGCCACCCTGTCCTTAGTAATCACAGCTTAAACGCGAGAGAGTGTCTATTCAGTGTGGATGCTATCTTTTGAAAAAGCAGATCATTTTTTCGATGCACTTTTGTGTGTGGACACTCTCTTTCGGAAGACTTTTTTTGGAAGATCTCTTCTGAACAAAGGTTCTTCCAAAAGAAGCCTGCAATCTAGACAGGGCCTGTCTGTGAGAGCCGTGTGCTCCCTTCTGTATCCAATCAAAGCGCTGTTACAGTTCCATTGGCACACACTGAAATTCTAGGGCTGCAATGCTGTATCCCAGGAGACCATCCTGTTTATGGCAATCTGGCAGACCACTGAGATGAAGAAGGGCCACTCATGTAGCCCACTCACTAGCCTAGAATGCCTATCACTGCCCTACAGCTACACTCTGTTTTTACCATGTTAGCTTGATGAGAGCTAGCATGAGTATGTTTCCTCAAGTTGGAACCATCCCCCACCCCAGCTCAAAGGGTAGACATATCTCTTATTATAGGACCACCTGTCTGAAGTAATAGATGCTTTTATGTGTTTTGAGTGGGCACTTGACACATTCTACCATGCCTCCATGTAGGATGGCTAGCTCCATTTCTATGGTGCGTATTCCTGGGTTAGCTCAGTTTCATATTTCCTACACAGATTGTCTTTAATGGAGCATTGATAATAATACCCACGGCAACTCGGGCAGAGACTGCATTTTGAGATGTCCAAGATACTGGGCACATTGCATTCAGTTTGCTAGCAGCAGTTAGAAGAGAAGAGCTTGAAGCATAGAGAGACACAGCATGTATCCCTGTGGAATATTGCTCTGGTGGTTTTGTGGCCAGTTTATCGACCTAAACATTTGTTCTATCAGTTTGGACCCCTGATGAATATAGGATGGTCCCCAATCTGCCAACTTTTAGCAGTGTGTGGTCTAATGGGAGCCACCTATGAAGGGTTGCAATAAAGTTTATACAGCTGAATCAACTCTATTGAGGCTCCTTAACAGCCTGATTCCCCAGGAGCTTAGGACAGAGTGGGAGAAATCAATGACAACACAGCTGGTAAAGGACTGGATCAGTGGACTCAAAGAGACTGAGGGTTGTCATTTTGCCTGCTGCTACCATTAGACAACTAGAGCAAGCAAAACACAAGTAATAGAACAATAAGCCAGGAAGGATCTCTCTCTATATATATATATATTTACTTGTGTACTAGCAATATACTTTTGAGTTATCATAGGCTGTTCCATTCTGTCTGCCAGAATTCAGAATCTAGTGCTGTCAATGATCCCATTTCAATTATTTTAATTAAAAAAGTCAACCTTTGGCTAGCGGACTGTCTCCCATCCCCTTACTAGACACATATACCAGTACATGCTGCAAAACCTCCCCAGCAACCTGCTAGTAGGTTTAGGGGGCTAATCTTTACAGGCAGCAAAAAAAGAAGAGCATGTGGCCATATAGCCTTCTATGGTATACCCTGGAGAGGGATACATCAAGCTAAAATAGCTACTTAAAGCCACTTATAAATGGCAGCCACTGTACTGACTACCATGAGTGCTTAGTTTATAAACAATTTAATAATATAGATTATAAGTAAATAGTGGCTGCTAAGTGCAGATAAGTCAACTCAAGATAGTTGATCAGTACAGAATACCATTAAGTTAAAGTACAGCTACATACTTTTCGATACATACAATGTCCTACATTGTCAATTCAGTTTTTCCTTTTAAACAACCCTCACCCTTTACCAACTTACTGTAGATCTCTTGAAAACTCCCAAAAGTAATGAGCTTATTTTAAATGTTAGGCATTTTTCTTTAAGATATCTGGGAATCTCTTCAGTGGTTGGTCACTGAAGTCAGTGTGCTTGCATTGACAAGCTGATGGTTCCTATGTGGAGAAAGGGATTTTGACAGCGCTCAGTTTTGTTATATTTAATAAATGTCTTTAATCTTCAGGTATTTTGCCAGAAACTTTTGCCTCTGGGAGATGGTTAGGGGTTCTGCTATTTTGTCTAGTCCATTTTTGGTACTCAAAATAAAAGGGGCAGACCAATACCTCTCAAAAGTCCCTCTTTGTCAAGAGACATCACTCATGTTAGTCCCAGATTTACCTGACCTACATACCATACAAATTTGGTGTCTCCAACTTTTATTGCTGGAAAAAAATAAATAATAAAAAATGAACCTGAATTTATAGAAAGTGACTGACCCAAAATGAGGGAATTCCCCAGCATTCTAAGTTTCCAGAATCAGTCATTTTTGGGTCCCTCATATGGCATCTTTAGCACCTATTGTAGGCCACAATCAGACCTTGGTCTGTTACAGTGTATACTCGGATCTCATCAGTTTAAATCCACATGGCTCCATCGAAGTAATGGGAGTAGAGTTAGGTCAACACTAAGTGCTAGAGAAACTCCCATTTTATGTTCACATAACTTGATACAACTTGGGGGGAAAAAGTCTGCCTTGTGTTGTGTATGTGAATCGCATTGCAATCTGGTCTCCTAAAAAGATCTTTAGTTGTAATGATCAGATTGATACTTGATACAACTTGGGGGGAAAAAATCTGCCTTGTGTTGTGTATGTGAATCGCATTGCAATCTGGTCTCCTAAAAAGATCTTTAGTTGTAATGATCAGATTGATATGTGCCAGTAACCTCTGTCTACACCAGCTGAGAAATCTTAGAATACTAGAGCTGGAAGGGACCTCAAGAGGTCATCAAGTCCAGTCTCCTGCCTTCATAGCAGGACCCGGCATCATCTAGATCATTCCTGATAGGTGTTTCTCTAAACCTGCTCTTAAATATCTCTAGTGATGGAGATTCCATAAAGAAACTCCCATTTTATGTTCACATAACTTGATACAACTTGGGGGGAAAAAATCTGCCTTGTGTTGTGTATGTGAATCGCATTGCAATCTGGTCTCCTAAAAAGATCTTTAGTTGTAATGATCAGATTGATATGTGCCAGTAACCTCTGTCTACACCAGCTGAGAAATCTTAGAATACTAGAGCTGGAAGGGACCTCAAGAGGTCATCAAGTCCAGTCTCCTGCCTTCATAGCAGGACCCGGCATCATCTAGATCATTCCTGATAGGTGTTTCTCTAAACCTGCTCTTAAATATCTCTAGTGATGGAGATTCCATTGCCTCCCTAGGCAATTTACTCCAGTGTTTAACCTCTCTGACAATTAGGAAGTTTTTCCTAATGTCCAACCTAAACCTCCCTTGCTGCCAATTTAAGCCCATTGCTTCTTGTCCTATCATCAGAGGTCAAGGAGAGCAATTTTTCTCCCTCCTCCTTGTAACACCCATGTAGATACTTGAAAATTGCTATCATGTCCCCTCTCAGTCTTCTCTTTTCCAAACTAAACAAACCCAATTCTTTCAGTCTTCCCTCATATTCTACAATGCAAGTCATACAGGGCAGAATTTTTCTCTAATTGCACTGAAAGATGTTGGACATAGGGTAGAAAAAACAGAAATGCTTTGCCTTGGCCTAACCAGCTCCCCCTGAATTCAGTAGGAACAGAGCTAAGCCTATGCTGGAAACAGGTGCGACCCGTGAGTATAGGCCGACTCGGCCGTCGCCTAGGGCGCTGTTTTCAATGGGGTGCCCAATGATGATGTCATGCCATTGACGGCCGTGCAGATCGCGCGTTCCGCCTGGGGTGCCAGCTGCTGCAACCCACTTCAGGCTGCCCCTGGCTGGAAATGCCACCCTCCTGAGGTGTAATGACTAATATTGTCCTTCATAATCTGCCTCCTTTCTAGAACTTGCTGGGAACTCACAACTTGGGAAGAGTTTATTATGAGCCAATCAAGGACAGACACGGTAATATCCTGATAGTTACGATAAGAGAAGTAGAGACTCTCTATTCCTTCTTTAATGGCAAATGGATGCAAATATCCAAGCTACAAAGCCAGAGAAAATCCCTTTCAACTCCGGAGGAGCCAACAGCATTAGACATCTTGCTCATAACAATCCAGGTAGCACTTTGCTTCACTTACTTTATGTTATTAATTTTTAAAAAGCCTGTGACTGAGCATTGCTTTATGGAAAATTCCTATAGGTTTTAGGCCCTGATCCAATGCCCATTAAAATTCATGGAAAGGCTCCCGCTGAGTATAATCTTCCATTGCCTTCAATGGACATTGGATTAGGCTCTTATTATGGATAAAACTAATAAGGTTCTATAGAAATGTAATAGGGTTCTAGAGAAATAACTTTAAAGACCTCTAGTATTTATAGGAGACTCATATATATTCTGTAGGTTTTGGAACCATGCTATAGGATTGTATAGCAAAGAATTCTCTCTTAAATTCTTTAGGATGGCTCTGAACAGCTATGGAGTGAAGTTACCATTTTCTGTTATCGTCTGTATGATTTGCCCATTGGCGCTCGGTCACTAAAACCAGGTTTTATTTTTTAAACCAAATGAACTTGAGAGTCTGGGAGGTGCTAAGAACCCTTGCTCCCAGTGAAATCAGCTCCCATTAAATGTTTTGCAGACCATATCCTCCCATCTGTGTTTACATCAAATTCCCAATTGACTTCAGTGGTGGAATGATCCAAGGACACTGGAGTAATCTTGCAAGCTGGAGAGCACCCCAATTCCCATTTAACATCTGTGGGTTGTGGGTTATCTATTAAAGTCATATCCTTCTATTGTCTCATGCACATAACTCATATTGAAGTCCCCAGAAGTTGTGTGTAAAGGACAGCAGGATGTGTCCTATAAAGAATGATTTATCAATCACTCTTATTTCTAAACCTAAGGGTTCACCTACTCATTGGAAACACTGCCAGACAAGTTATTGTCAAAGCTTTGTCTACACTTACAGGGAGATTGACACCATGGGGATCGATCTTGTAGGAGTCAATTTAGGGGACTAGCAAAGACCTGCCTAAATAGACCACTGATCATGCTCCAGTACTCCACCAAATCGAGAAGAGTAAGGGTTGTTGATGGGAGAGTTTCTCCCATTGACCTCCTGCAGTGGAGAAGCAGCAATAACTCAATTTAATGTATGTCAGCTCCAACACATAGCTGGAGTTGCATACCTTAGTTCAACATTTTCCCCTAGATATTGATTACTATGCCTAATTGTGATTTATGGTCATTTTCTTGCATGGTGATTGTGTGCTTTTGTGCACCAGAAGCTGACAGGTAATCATACATACACACTTCAAGGTTTGGGGTAAGATTTCCAAATGACAGTATAATGTACTTGATCTGTGCTCAATTTACTGTATTAAATATGTCTTAAAGGCGCAAAAAAAATCCCAATCTGGGCAAAAGTTTATATTAGGAAATGCAAAATACAGGTCCGATCAGATTTCCACAGAGGTCCTAATGGAAAAATTTCCCCCTAATGGTTTGCACATTCCTGTCTGATGTCCTCCCTTTCTTGTGTTACGTGTTGAATCATCATGCAGGTATTTTGTTCATGAAGTGTTCACGAAATTGAAGATCTAATTGCACTGGTTAGAGCCAAGCATAGCGCTGGCAGATAATGTGATGATTCCAAGGGTGAAGGCAGAGGGCCAGGTGGCTTAATCCTTACTCATTGCAGAGGGGCACTTTAATCGGGATGGCAGTCAACTTCATTTATTAAGATAGCCTTTGGGGAATGCTATACATAACCCTGTTAATGTCTGTTAACTTCAGCAAATATAACAGCAGGGCTAATTCTTTCCAAGCTCTTTTTGAGGCTAAAGTTCATTTGTTGAAAATGTAGCGATTCATTTGACAACGTGTTTTATTTTCGTACTATACTTGACAACTTGGTACCCACAGACAACTCACCACTGATGTTAGTAGCTGTAGAAGGAGTTCACTGGAGGCTTACACTGTGTGTAAGCACAGATCAGAGAGGACAATTTTGCTTTAGGACTGCAACGTGCTTCTGATTTTTGGAGGGTTATTGTTTTACAGCTGACTCCTACAAGGTCTGGAGCATTCTGAGCACCTGATTCTCCAAAACATGTAAGCATGCGCTTATCTTTCAAGAAGGGTATGTCTAGTCTGTGAGGATCTATCCAAAAAAGATACGCAAACTGTGTATCTTTTTCTGATACTTTTGTTGGAAGAGCCTTTTCCGAAATTTGGCACATCTAGACTGGGCAAAATTTTGGAAAAAACACTCTCCTTCTTCCTTGTAAAACAAGGACTACAGGGGCTTCTGAAAGAGTGCGTTTGCTCTTCCACAAAAAAATAAAGCAGAAGAGCAAATGTGTTCCTGGACGTGGTGGAGTTTTTTTGGGGCCCGAAACTGCCCCCTCCCCGCCCCCCGCAGTCTAGCCGTACCCTTGCAAGACTAGTCCCAGTGCATCAAGCTGAACATTCCTAAGAACAAGCAGATTACTCATGTGCCTAGACTTAAGCACATGCTTACATATTTTGCTGGGTTCAGGCGACCCTTAAAACAAAAGACCCGCTCTAAAAACATTAGCAGCTTTCTCTCCTCCCAGTCCTCTCTTCTTTTCTGGGGGAAAAAAGGAGATTTTGATTTAGGAATGTCTCTTTGAACAGGACACACTTTCCTATCACAAAAGAAGTCAGCAGCGCCTCTCGCCGGGCTTGTATCTGGGTTACCTGAAACTCTGCAGCTCCGTCGATCAAATCAAAGTCCTTGTACTGCAAAAGCTGCCCAACATTCTGTGCCATGTTAAAATCCGAGACAACAGCAATGTTTCCAAGTAAGTGATTTTTTTTAAAATATTCATTGTTTAAACAGTTGATCAAACTCAAATAACTCAAGTGCCAAGTGTGTGAAAATATGCTCAGTTTATGTAGGCACCAAATGTGAAATCTGCTATATAAATAGAAACAGAAGAGGCAGAGAGCTAATGATTATGGTCATAACCGTGCGATCAATGATTGCATATCATTGAATAAAATGGAGTAAAGTGAACTCAATCTACAATGCAATGAGCACTCTGGCCCGAAGATAACAAGCAATTTAAGCACTGAGGCATTGAGGTCAGAAGGACTACTTGCCTGCTTACAGTAAAGCATGCGCTTAAGTGCTTTGCTGGCTCAGGACCAGAGCGCTCACCACCTTGCAGAGCTCTGGGAATATATTATTTATTTAATGAATGAATTCCACCGTGTGCCCCTTATTGGCCATCTATCATGTCACTTGTTAATGTTTGGAGCTAAATTCTACTCTCGGTCATAACCCCATTGAATTTATTGTTGGTCACCCACGTATAATTGCCAGCTAAGTCAAGCTGCATACTATAGAGCTCCATATGAACCTCAAGACTACGTCTACACTGGCATGATTTTCCGGAAATGCTTTTAACAGAAAAGTTTTCCGCTAAAAGCATTTTCGGAAAAGAGCGTCTAGATTGGCAGGACACTTTTCCACAATAGCACTTTTTGCGGAAAAGCGTCCGTGGCCGAGCTAGACGCGCTTTTCCGCAAAAAAGCCCCAATCACCATTTTCGTGATCAAGGCTTTTTTGCGGAAAAGAAATCTCTGCTGTCTACACTGGCCCTTTTGCGCAAAAGTCTTTTGGAAAAAGACTTTTGCTCAAACGGGAGCAGCATAGTATTTCCACAAAAGCACTGACCATCTTACATGAGATCGTCAGTGCTTTTGCGGAAATTCAAGCGGCCAGTGTAGACAGCTGGCAAGTTTTTCCGCAAAAGCAGATGATTTTGCGGAAAAACTTGCCAGTCTAGACACAGCCCAAATGTGCACATGCTCAGGGCTCGACAAATTGCTGTTTCTACTCGCCCATGGCACGTAGATTTCAGCTGGTCGCCCTGTTCACCGGCGGCGTGCGCATGCGCAGTGCGGGGCTGGCGGGTAGATTTCGCCGCCGTTTGTCAAGCCCTGCACATGCCTATGTCCATCTCTCTGGTATGCTGAGGGCCTGATCCAAAGCCTTTACTGATTAAAAAACCCGTCTGTTTCACTGGGCTATGGCTCAGGTCCAAAGTCCCCAGTCCTGGGGTTCTGTCTGGGACCTTCAACATGACTCCGAGGATAGGATCAGGACCTATAGGCCTGGTCCAATTGGAGTCTTCTCACTGGCCTTCGTGCCAGATGGACCAGGGCTTAATTTGGCATTCAATCAGTTTACAGAGCTTCAGGGGGTAGCCGAGTTAGTCTGTTACAGAAAAAAACAACAAATGGTCTGGTAGCACTTTATAGACTAACAAAACATGTAGATGGTATCTTGAGCTTTCATGGGCACAGCCCACTTCTTCAGATGACCGGAGTTATGAATGCTAATGGACTCAATCGAGATACAGGCTGGTGGGGACTCTACCACTGAAGGTGCTAACAGCTTTCTGAGTGGTATCCTTCCAGTCTCAGCAATCTATCTGTTGACTTTGATCTTTATCTGCTTAGGTTTAATTACCCATTCTCCAGATACTTCATGATACCCTGAGGCCCCCGCCCTCCTTTCTCTTTCCTTGCTCTTCCCCTCTCCTATTTATTTCCAGTTTTCATATCCCCTACTCATAACTCCAATCATCTGAAGAAGTGGGCTGTGCCCACGAAAGCTCATGATACCATCTACATGTTTTGTTAGTCTATGCTACCAGACCATTCAAGTTTACAGTATACTCTGGTCTGTGATACCTTATTTCTAACACCCAACTGCCCCTAAACAATAAAATAGGTGATGATTGAAAATTAATACAAATAGATGCTTTTTGTGTTGGGCCAGCCCATTCTTCCTGCTTCTGTCTCTATGGTCCTCACCCCTGGGACAATACATCAGAAATGTTCCTTCTTCCTCTGTTTCTTTTGTTTCTTAGCCCAGGTGGTTCCATCTACCAGCCAAGAATTTGTCCAGATTCAAAGATGGGCTGGACATTTATATAAATAACAAGAACATTCAGCGTTGTAATAGTTAATACTAGTGACAATTTTACGTTACATTGCATTACATCCTTTCCACGCTAGCACTGGAGACGAGGGCAGCTGCTAGTCTCTTCTATTCCCTCCGTCATTTGCTGTTGTTTCCATCTGCTCCGGGGTGTGGAGATTAACTCTTCTGCACACTCCTAAGGGTTCCTCTTAAAATGTCTCCTGGGCAACCTTGTTTCCTCACACCAGATGGTTTGCTCTTGACAGCTTCTTGTGGGAAACTGTGTTGGCATCCAGAGCACATGTCCCAAATATATCCAGTACTTCCTTCTAATTCTGGTGGAGACAAGCTGCTGGTTGGTGTTTTCTTGGACCTCTTAATGGCTTTGGAAGGAATACAGAACGGCTGTGTCTACACTGGGCCACTTATTCCAGAAAATCAGCCGCTTTTCCAGAATAAGCTGCGAGCTGTCTACATTGGCCCTTGAATTTCCGGAAAAGCAACGACACTCTACTGTACAAAATCAACTGCTATTCCGGAAAAACTACGCTGCTCCCGCTCGGGCATAAGTCCTTATTCCGGAACACTGTTCCGGAAAAGGGCCAGTGTAGACAGCCCAGTAGTCTTTTCTGGAAAAAAGCTCCGATCGCGAAAATGACGATCGGGGCTATTTTCCGGAAAAGCACGTCTACATTGGCCACACATGCTTTTCCGGAAAAAGGGCTTTTCCGGAAAAGCAGCCTGCCAATGTAGACGCTCTTTTTCCGGAAATACTTATAACGAAAACTATTCTGTTTTAAGCATTTCCGGAAATTCATGCCAGTGTAGACACAGCCAACAGGTTTAATACAATCTCGATTACTAGGAATTAGGCTTAGACCTTCATATTGGACCAGATTACCCCATGCCTGCCTGTGGCGGAGTTTCTTGCATCTTCTCCTGAAATACTCAGTGCTGGATGCTGTCAGAGAGAGGATGCCACATTAGATGGACTCTGGGTTTGATGCATTAGGGCCATTCTTATGATCATCAGCTCTGGAGTTAAAATGTGTCTGGCAGAAGCTGGTTCATTGGCTACATTCAGTCCTGGAGAAGTCTGCAGCTGATCAGACATTGAACTTACTAATTAAAGCAGCTGTAGACCAACATATGTTTTAAAAGACATGGCGTGGGGCTCTTGTCAAAGAAAAAAATCTTGCTGAAATATTTCAAAGGCAGTCGATTTTCAGGTGTTAGTAAGGAATGCTGAGCTTGATGTACAAGTGCTAGAAAAATTAAACAGGAAACGTTTTGAAGTTGGGTTTTCATTTCAACCACAAGCAACCAAGACGGCATAATTTGAGAACATTTTACTTATTTGAGGATTAAACCCTCAACAGATCCCAAATGCACATACTGTAAATTCTTCCGTATGCACTGAACTTTTGTTATATTTCTAATTTTAACTCAACATACAGAGATGAGTGGGAATGGCTCCAAATGCTTGCTGGCTTAGAATCTGTGGAAAGTGTGGATCATGCTTCAGACTGCCCTACTCAATTGTTCTATGAGCTCCAGATGGCAGTGAAAGCTCTCCTCAAACAGATCAATCTACCTCTGCGACAGGTATTTTGCTTTGTGGTGTTTATCACCTTTTTCCCCCCCCAAACTGCTTCTTGGGATCATGAATGAAATCTAAAAATTGTGAATGTTTCTACTAGTGGTGACATCTTAGAGTTGCAAAAACAAAGCAACTAAAAAGAATTTAACTAGGATTATTTGAACTGTGTTGTGAATATCAGCTGGCTAAAAAAAACCTTTAGGATAATGTGCTTTCCTAGAGAATATGAATGCATGGGATTAAAACACTCAATCAACAGAGCCAGTTTTTTAGTAGTCTTCCTCATTTGCATTTGCAGGCACATGCTTTTGCATTTGTACAACTGCACGCACGGGCAAACAGGCACTTTTGCACACAGGTCAAGCCATAAGGCGTGCCTTTGTCCATCTTGCAAAGGCAAATCTGTATTTCCCTGTGGCCATGGAGAATTTGCACATTCCTGTGGCTGCACCTACCAAGATGGTAAATGCTTATGAGAAGCCCAGCTGAACGTTTGGCCCAAAGCGTACTATTGAGCTTAATTTTTTTTTTACACCCAATGGAAATTTGGTGCTTCTGAAAATCTAGCCACAGTCTTCCAGACTGACAGCCCTGGAGACTGAAATCTTCTAGCCACTGAACAGGTATAGAAAGGCAGGAGCAATGCAAGCTTCCCTAACCTGTGGATGAAATCCTGGCTCCACTGAACTAAATGACAAAACTCTCATTGACTTCAGTGGGGCCAGGGTTTAACACAGTATCTCAACTGATAGATCACCAGTCGAGGAGAGAGCATAGCTGAGCCTCCATAGCTCATTCAGTCCTTGGCTTCTGCTGATGCTGCCATTAAAAATGCCCACTAGGCCCATCTGTAGTAGTGGAGACCAGACTGGCTGGAACGGCACTGAATCTCAAGCATATTTCACATAGACCCTTAAGCAAGCCTACAGCGTGTTTATCATTTGCCACTCACACAATGCTGCACAAAGGAGGGATGTCCTGCGGTTATACAAAATGAATCTTATCCAAGTGTAAACCATTTGTGGTCCCTACACCCTCTCTGTACCCAAGTCATAGAACAGCAATTATCAAACTGTGGTCTGCTGACCCCTTCTCCTCCTTTCCTCCCTCAACTTCTCCCCCTTCCTCCCAGTGCCTCCTGGGGCTAAGGCAGACTTCCTGCCTGTCCTTCTTCTACACAGATCCCAGAAGCAGCCACCAGATCCCCATGGCAGCCTCTAGGTGCATGGGCAACCAGAGAGGCTCTGTTCATTGCCCCTACCGGAGTGCCAGCTCTGCAGCTCCCATTGGCTGGGAGCCATGACCAATGGGAGCTGTGGGAGTGCTTACAGGCAGAAAAACAGAGTGCAGAGCCTCCCTGGTTGGCCCTGCACCCAGGGCCACAGGAATCTGGCAGTTGCCTCCAGGAGCCATGACAAATGCCGCTGGACCCCACATCACCTCACACAATCAATCACACTGCCCCAGCCAAGAGCCTCCTCCCTCCACCTGAACTCCCTTGCAGTGCCTGCACCTTGCCAACACCCTGATCGTCTATCCCAACCTGGATCCCTTTCCTGCACCCAAAACCTCTTGTCCTTGGCTCCACCTCACAGTCCGCACCCCTAGCCAGAGCTCTCACGTCCCTCCTACACTCCTTCCCACCGCCCCAACTCATGAAAATGAGGGTGGGAGAGAGTGAGCAGCAGAAGGCGGGGGGTGGAGTGAGTGGTTGTGGGGCCTCAGAGAAGGGGGGGAGCTTGGGGAAAAGGGTAGGGCATGGTTGGGGCTTTAGGAAAGGGGTGGGGACAGGGAGGCTGTTACAGCCACTACTAGAGACTCTTTAACTTAGGCTACAGCTGCTCATTCTTTTAGGTCCCCAATTCAGTCCCGGTTAGTTGCCCAAGAGAGTAGCAGTCACACAATCACTGTGGACCAGATTGTCTACCCTTCACTTACACTTGTGAGCAGTTACTCTCACAGGTATTCACTGCCCCGCCTTTAATGAGGCTATTTGCAGAGCCATCCCATTGATAGGACAAATGGGGCAGCCACTCTAGGCCCCGCGCTTTTGGGGGCCCCGTGATGGCTGCCCCAACCATCCTGTGCACAGGAGGAGCTGGGAGATTACGAGGGCCCGGTGCAATGGCAGCAGGGGTCACCTCCTCCCTTCCGCTCACCACATGAGTGGCATGGGTATGAGTGAGAACCGCCCAGCAGCCTGCTGCACCCCACTTCTCCACGGCGGCAGGAAGCAAAGCTGCTCAGGGAGGGTGCTGCAGTGAGGTGGGGTCTGTAAACAAACTTTATGAGACTGCGGGAAACTTGGCCATACCCATGATAAGTTGATATCTGGCTAACTCAAATCATGCCGGGCCACGGATGTTGCCGGACCAGAGAGGTCCAAACTGTAGTTTACACCAGCAAGTGACTCAAGCCTTATGGTGCCCATTTGCAGCCAGTCAATGCAATTTCAGAAACCGACACAGGGCTCCATGCTAGTGGCTCCCCAAGCAGGACTGGAGGGCTCATGCCAAAGTATTCACCTTTTTAAAACTAACTGAGTCCTACTGACGTCAGGGGGCACTGGGAGAGTGGGAGTCAGACTGCAAATGGTCCTTGCAGCCCAAGTTCCACCAACCACTTCAGCACATGCTGAGCTCCATCTCCAGTCAATGAAGCACTTAAGCATACCCTTGAAGCACGTGTTTAAATGCTTGGCTGAATCGGGACCTTCACTGTGCATTAAGGAATTTAATTTTGGATTCAATAACGGTATATAAGTGTTGCTATGATTTGTGTTGTAGTAGCACCTTAGACACCCAAACCTGGCCCAGGATTCTCTTGTAGCAGGCACTGTACCAATGCTGAACACAAAGACAGTGTTTTACATGACAGCTACACAACAGTCTATATCCAACTACCGTTTGCACCGGTTTCCCTTCATGCAGCACTTGTTAAATCTTTCCAGGGCTGCGTTGGGAATTGTGGAGGGGGGGAAGAGCTGCATATTTCTTTTAACCAATCCTAAATTAAATCCTAAAGGGTTTTAATTGAATCCATTTTCATGTTTTCACATAATTATACAATCATCATCTTGAAAAGCGGACGGCGTGCGATCATTTTCTGCCTAATAAGAAACATAAATGTTGTTTTCAGGGGGGTTATTTGTGTGTGTTGGTTTTTTAATGTGGAACATTACAGCTTTAAAGCCTGATTTTATGGAGCAACGTTAACCTGAGTTTAAGCCCCTCTAATATTTATGTTTTTATAAAAATTCCGAGCTTGATGTTGTTCACGTTTACTTTAATGTTTTATATCATTTGGGGTGTTGTTTATATAAGTGCCATGTTGTAACTCTCTCCCACTTCTCTCCCCGCGCGTGTCCCCTCGGCAGGCAAAGCACTTCCGTCTGTATACACAGGAGGTGTTGGAACTGGGTCACAATGTCTCCTTTCTTCTCCTGCTCCCCGCCTCAGACGACGTCTGCACTGCCCCAGGACAGAATAATCCTTACACCCCACATTCAGGATTTCTTAACCTCCCTCTTCAGATGTTTGAACTCGGTATAGTAGCTCGCTTCACCTAGAAATATTAACCCAGACTCCTTATAATAAAATCACAAAGTTGTATCTGTTTTCCCCCTTGTCCCAGTGGAGAGTCAATAAATCACATGATGGCTTTGGCAATAACACTACCTAGAACTGTGTACAAGGAGCATAGCGGCTGGAGTATATACTGTAGGCATCATTACTGAAATGCAAAAAAGCATAGAGCAAAAGCCCACAGTTATCAAGCATAAGCCCTAGTCTATTATGGAGGTGGAGGAGGATGGGGAGGGGGTGTAGACCGCACATAAGATGCCAAAGCTGATACGCTGAGAGCAGCCACAAAAATGTCTTTATTCTGAGGCGAGGTTTGCATCATCACCAAGAAGAATTAGTGCAGTGGACAGATCTAGCCGTGGTACACTGCAGAATTGTTGCCGCTTTGGACAGAGATGCTCCTCCGCCGGGCCTGTGAGGCCCCAGCGTTTTAAAGCGTTCAGAGCTGGATTTCACAGAGCAGGCCCATGTCCTTGCCTTTCATGCGGAAATACCAAAGGGCCCCGCACTAAAGTAATGATGCAGCAAAATTCCCATGGCGAGGCGAGGAAGAATCAGCTTGTGATTAAGGCACTGAACTGTGGCTGAGGAGAAATGGCTTCGGGTCCCAGTTCTGCCATCAGCTTCTTGTGTGAGCTTGGGTCAGATTCTTAGCTGTTGGCAGGGCTGGTGACAGATTTCACCGGGCCCTGGGCAATGTGTGTGGGAGGCTTGGCTCAGGGCCCCCCATAAGGTGGGGGGGGCCTCAAATGGAAGGGGCAGGGCTCTGGGCAGCCAGGCCTCAGCAACACAGTGATTTCTGCCACTGCTGCCCAGAGCCCTGCTGGGCCCTTTTAAATCATCAGGCCCCAGGACAACTGCCCTCTTTGCCCCCCTGGTCCTATAACAGCCCTGTCTGTTGCCAGTCAGCCAGCGCCACTGAAGTTGTGGGAAGGATGGAGCCAGGTCACTAGTGGGGGAAGGAGGGAAGGATTATCCCTCCTAGCATGATGACATCCAAGTGTAACATGTGCTCAGTGCTCTGAGCTCTGTTGCATTAGGGTGCGCATCCTGCAGCGGTGCCGGGTCAACCGCCCTGCCCCACTGCAGTGCGTGCTGAGATAGTATTCCGCAGCGCAAGGCTTCCTGGCGGACTGATGGCGAAGGAAAAGATGCTTCTGACGCCCCTTTCTCCCGGTGGTCCCCTCCAAGGAGCGGAGGGGCCAAGGCGGGGAGCAGCCCAGGGAACCTCACAGTAGCTTTGAGAGAGGAATAAGAGAGGAGCGATGGAGCCTGACACGTTTGCTAGAGGAAAGATGGGGCAGCAGACCCAGATCCACACCTCTGGCCTCTTTCTGTTTCCTCCTTCTTCCCTTCTGCTCATTCTACTTGGAAGGGAAAGGGAGAGAGGATCTGCAACGGGCAGTCCCCGAGTCCCAGCTAAAGCTGCCCCTCTAAGAGAGGGAGAGTTAGGAAAGTGCTTTAGTGGAGGGGACAGAAGAGCTGCAGTAAATATGTCCTGCTCAGGCTGTGTTCGCTGATCAAGGGAGCTACACCAGGGGGAGAAGGGAGCTGGTATTAACTGGAATGGGGGAGCTGCATTAAGGAATTGTGCACATGGCGGGCAGGGAGGCAGCATGGATGAAAAGACTATGGGATGGTTTCTCCTGGGACACCAGCCTGGCTTCTCCTGGGACACCAGCTACAGGAAGATCTATGCCAGAAAAGTGGTTTCTTTTGGGGATAAAAGGACAGGGACCTCCCCTTCCCCTGCCTGATCTCTCATGAGAAGTCCAGGCAGGGAGTCCCTTTCCCCAACCTCCCAGGAGCCTGGGTAAGAACAAAGACTCCAAACGTTGGAAGACCCTTGCATTTTGTTCTCTGTTTGGACCAGAAACTGATACTCATTTTTAACTCCAAAATTGCTTTGAAGGTTGCTTTTGCACTGAGCAGAAACCAGATTTCACTCCATAACAGGCTTCCGTCCCTTCACTGAAGCTCTAACAGGTCCCAAAATGGATTTAATTGGGTCACATCATGAGAAAAACATGTACAGCAAAAAATACATACACACAGCAAATCACAAACATTCCACATGGGTGGTCACTTCTCCCTCGCCTTGATGGCTGGGTCACACATTGGCAGGCTTAAAAGTAGAGCTTAATGAACACACTCTTAGCTGCAGGTTAGAATATAGTCATGAAATTGAAAGCCCGGGCTCAATTTCATTTAAATATGTAATGGATATGAATAGAGCCACTCTTTCAAATCTAGTCCTGAGCAGACAAGGCTCTAGGAACAAAGCAGCAGAATGCAATGGGTATGAGAATACAGCAGATTGAGCTATTAGGGGGGTAAGACATCTTGAGATTATACTTTATGCTACTTCTTATTCAGCAGTAGGGAAATCAACCATTCAAGTCACGGGTGTGTGATGCGCTGTAATGCATTGATTTCCCAATGAAATCTATTTTGAGTATGTATTCCGGGACCTCACAATCTTTAATATATTTATCCTGACCAGGGAAGAAATTTTATTCCCATTTTGCAGATGGGAATTGAAGCCCCAGGGCTAATTAGCTTGCATGGGGTCACACGAGATCTCTCAAGCTCTAGGCTAGTGCACTAGCCTTCCTTGTGGATTCATTCCTGCCTTTGCTAAAACTGAGTCAGTTCGGATGCAGAGAGTCTGCCCACCACTGCTTTGAATAAGGTGGAGCTGTGTTCTTCCCCAAGGGGATGTACAGCAGCTTTCTCAAATGCCGTTGGCGTCTGTGTTGTGGTGAAATAATGGATCAGACATGTAAGAAGAGGGTAACTCAGGATCTACAGCAGTGATGGGCAACCAAGAACAGGGAGCTTCTGAAGCTCGCGGCCCACTGGAGCTCCACCTGCAGCCCCATGGTTCCCTTTCTACCGTCTACCCCCAAGCACCTCTCTCACACTGGGGCACCAGAGCCCAGCACCTACCTGCTCCTCCCCCCTGCCTCCCAGTACTTTTGTAGCATGAGAATTGCCTGATTTGCACTCCTTCCCCACTCCCTCTCCTCTCTCCCAGAGCTGGAACGCTAGGAACAGCTGATTTGCAGTGTTCCAGCTCTGGGAGGGAGGGAGAGAAGGCGGAACAGAGCATGAATCAGTGGATTTGCAGTGCTCTGGAAATGCTGGGAGGGAGGAGAAGTAGGAAGTCCAGAGCTCCTGTGCCATAGTGTGCAAGAGAGTATGCAGACAGGTGGTCCACAAGCCGCAGGTGGAACCCCAGTGGACCACAGGTTGCCCACCACTGATCTACATTCAGGCTTTGGGTACAGGCCATGTTGTCCATATGAGAGGAGAGAAATGAACTGGTTTTGCTGAAGTGCATTCACATTGGGTAAAAATCAGCACTGGGCAGAGGGTAGGTGCACCTCTTATCCTCACTACTTGCTGTGTAGGTCCTATGCAGGAATGGATCTTACCCTTGTGCATATCATAGATTAGTCATAGACTCGGATGAGGCTGTGTAGCTAGTACGGCTTGCTGCATGCAGTAGGGAAATGGGGATCGCATCTAGGGCGTTCTGGGCTTCTCACTACTCTGGTGATGGGATTGTGAAATATAGCAAAGAGAGAAACAGCAAACCCTGAATTTCACTCTTTGAATGAAAGAGGAAGCAATCCCATGGCCGAAGGCAGATGACACGTTCTCCCTGATTTATTGCAATACATCTCCCCAACATTCTGTAAAATGGCTGTGATTCACAGTGCAAATATTAGAAGCTTCCATTCCCCATTAGCTGGTGGCTACCGAATATATAATTGCAAACCCACAAAAGGCTATGTTGAAGTAACATTTGTTAAAGTAACATTAAAGGCTCTGACTTAAAACCACAAAGGCTAGAAACTTCAGCACTGAAGCCGAAACCACAGCTGTAATTCACTCAAGAGTGCAGCACATATGGCATAGACGCTGTAAGACCACACACTGTTCAGATTAGATTTTGGCCATATCTAGGCCCGATGAGGGGAGAAAGCAGAGGGGAGAATTCTGTCTTTGATGCTCACTGGTTGAGATTAGACCTTTATTGTTATACAAACAAAGTGTTTGTAGTTTGATGTCCTAGTTGTGCTGCCATATGGCGAACACAAGAAAGATGTGGTTTGGGATTCTCTGATTTCTGTATTTATATTTTTGATTGGAACATAGGCACCACCCTGCCCAATGATTAACAAACTCTTCCATAAGAAAACCAAAAAAAAAAAAATACCTCTCTGCCATAGCAAGAAATGTGCTGTATGGTTAAGTTTAATGAAGTAGCAAGGGATTTTGAAATCCTCTGACAAGTGGAAGGGGAATACCAGCTCCACATAAGAAAGAAGTTCAATTCTGGGTTCCCTTCTTTTCTGGAAGGGTTTTCAGGCTGGACTGTGAGGAAAGACCCCGAAAATCATAACTGTTCTGCCCAAATTATGGCCTTTCTGAAATACACTGTGGCTACGTCTAGACTGGCATGATTTTCCGCAAATGCTTTTAACGGAAAAGTTTTCTGTTAAAAGCATTTGCGGAAAAGAGCGTCTAGATTGGCACGGACACTTTTCCGCAAAAGCACTTTTTGCGGAAAAGCATCCGTGCCAATCTAGACGCGCTTTTGCACAAAAAAGCCCCGATTGCCATTTTCACAATTGGGGCTTTTTTGCGCAAAACAAATCTGAGATGTCTACACTGGCCCTTTTGCGCAAAAGGACTTTTGCCCGAACAGAAGCAGCATAGTATTTCCGCAAGAAGCACTGATTTCTTACATGAGATCGTCAGTGTTCTTGCGGAAATTCAAGCGGCCAGTGTAGACAGCTGGCAAGTTTTTCCGCAAAAGCAGCTGCTTTTGTGGAAAAACTTGCCGGTCTAGACACAGCCTGTATATGGCTGCAAATGATTGACACTTTCATTGTTGCTCTCAGGTTGGCCTGGCTTGAGTGAGAGCAGCCACTCTCAAGCAGCTGTGGTCACCCTGGCACTGCACTCACTTGTGTATGGCACTAGGACTTTGAATTATCTCTGGGTAAACTGAGTGAATTTGTATGTCTTTTTGTGGCACAAGAGGAGACTGGAGGGAAGGCATTGGAATACAGAAGCTAGCATAACAACATAAGAACAGCCATAATAGGTCAGATCAAAGGTCCATCTAGTTCAGTATCCTGTCTTCTGACAGTGGCTAATGTCTGGTGCCCCAGAGGGAATGAACAGAACAAAGTCCTGGATCTTCACAATGTCTTCTGGCAAGGAGTTCCACAGGTTGTCTATGTGTTGCATGAAGAAATACTTCATTTTTTTGGTTTGGTTTAAACCTGCTACCTAATAATTTCATGTGGTGACCCCTTTTTCCCCCCACCCACCCCGCCTCCCAGTTCTTATGTTATGGGAACAAAATAAACAACTTTTTCTTGTTCACTTTCTCCACACTGGTCATGAAAGTCATCAAGGTCATTGAGGGTATGTCTAGACTACACCTCTCTGTTGACAAAGAGATGTAGATTAGGCACGTCGAAATTGCTAACGACGCAGGGATTTAAATATCCCATGCTTCATTAGCATAAACATGGCCACCACTTTTTTTCAAAATGGAGTTTTTTCGAAAAAACCAATAGTCTAGATACAGATTTGTCAAAAATAAACCCTTTTTCGAAATATCCTGTAGTCCTCAAAAAATGAAGTTTACAGGATCTTTCGAAAAAGGGTTTATTTTCGACAGATCCGTGTCTAGTCTGCTGGGTTTTTTTTTCGAAAAAGCTTCGTTTATGCTAGTGAAGCACAGGATATTTAAATCCCTGCTTCATTAGCAATTTCGATGTGCCTAATCTACATCTCTCTGTCGACAGAGAGGTGTAGTCTAGACACAGCCTCAGTGAGAGATGAATAACTATTAGGGACTGGGATGTGGGTAGTCATGCTCAGTGGTTAGAGCATAAGCTAGGCATTGGAGGACAGGCACATTACCCAAAGGTTAGAGCTAAGTCAGAAATTAGAGATGTGGGCCAAGGCTGTTACCTGGAGTGAGGCAAGGCAGAAACAGGCCTGGGAATAAGTAGACACAGGAGCTATCGCAGCTGTGAATCAATGCTTTGAGCAGCCATCTAACGGTTCCTGCTGCTAGGCCTAGCAACAGGTTTGCTGCATCTTCCAACCCATCAGGAGGTGTAGCCAAACTCATTAGGTTGCCCAGAGTCTGGCTGTGCTGCAGGCCCTGATTGCTGACAATAACCAGACAGTAGACTGATTTTTTTGTGAACATTAGTGGAAAACAGGGATTCATTTTATCTTTGTTGTTCTTTGGCATGGCCTTAGCCTGGACAATGAAGCATATTAGCACCACAAACACTGGGATATGCCTAGAAGACCTAGAACTGTGCTGATGATATTGCGCTATTAAACAACACCTCTGTAAAGCTACAAAGAAAGACATCTTGGCAAAACCACAGGCCAGACAGGACTCACAATTAGATACACCAAAAGACACATCCTTGAAACCCAAGGATGAGAGGAGAGGAGAATCAGATCTTTATTATTTATTTCTGGCTCAACACATTCCATCAAGAATTTTAATAATCGTCTTTAATTAAAGTTTGTGTTAAAAATGTATGGATTTCAGGGGCAGCGTGTAATACTAATTACTTTTTTTCTCCTTCATTTTCACAGTTCATTTTTGCTGCTACAAAGAGAAATTTATTAGTCTGTATTGCCGCCTTTCTGCTGTCATAGAGCTGGACTCTCTGAAAACCCAGCAGTCCCTAAGGGAAGCAATTTCAGACAGTGAAGTCGCTGCTGCCAAACAAAGACACCAGCAAGTTTTAGACTATATACAGGTAACAGTCTGTTTCCGAGTAGACCAAGGAGACTTTTAAGGTCTATAATTTGGAATTTAAAAGGAGAATTATTTGCAGACATCATAAAAAGAGTGGTGTCAAAATGTTTTTTATGAAATTCCAAACCCATAGCACAATTTCTTCGATTGTTGCTTTTATAAAAGAGATTTTTAATGGATAAAAGCAAATGACAGTCTCACTAGACTGTTATACAGAAATGTCTCCGTTTGGATTATAGAGCTCACGCCTTTCCGTGTGAGGAAAACCAGTGCCAAGCACAGGGCATTACTCTGGAGGATACTTTTTCTCTCATTTGTGGACATACATTATTTTTACTCACTGGCAGGTTGCGAAGGAAAAAAAAAGAAAGTTGTGTCAAGGGCACACGCTATAGGAATAGATGATTGTCAGTAATGATCAGAAGGCGATCTGAGCCAGTGGCATCACAAAGCACAAGACGGAGGCTGGCTAACTGCATACCAGGAGTCCATTCGGCCAGGGTGACTCCTGCAAACCTTTATGATAACTAATTCTCCCTCTCGTGACCCTTGCACAAAGCATTTAGGGTGCATTATCGGGCATGGATCAGCTGTGTAGTCTGTAGGTTTAGGTTGGACATTAGGAAAATTTCCTAACTGCCAGAGGGGTTAAGCACTGGCATAAATTGTCTAGGGAGGTTGTGGAATTTCCACCATTGGAGATTTTTAAGAGCAGGTTGGATAGACATCTATCAGGGATGAACTAGATGATGCTTGGTCCTGCTGTGAGTGCAGGGGACTGGAACTGATGACCTCTTGAGGTCCTTTCCAGTTAGTATTTTGTGATTTTATGATTCTACTCACCTGCTACTCAAGTCTTCTCCAGTTGGAATATGGCCTGAGATAATGGTTCATCCTCTTGTTAGGGGCTTGTGGCCATTTAAATCCACATAATTATGAACCAGCAATCTCTGCTGCTCTTGTTGTGTTGTCACATACACCTTTGCAGAAGCCTGTTTGGAGCTGCCTTGAAGTTTAGGCAGCGAGGAATCCTGTGGCACTTGAAGTTTAGTTTTACTTCACATGTGTTGTGATAATCTATTGTGCTCCTGTTTTAAAACTGTTTTCTCCCCAAGTCCTTCTCCCACTTTCACACTCAGAAGAGCTGAATTAGTCCTAGTGATTCGGACCTTCTGGGGCTGCTGGGGAAATGAACGTATTTTCCGTGAAAGGTGCAGTTCACCCAGGATCCCCAGTAGGTGTCAAGGGGTACGTCTAGACTACCGGCTTCTGTCGACAAAGAGCATCTAGACTACATCCAGTTCTGTTGACAATGCAAGCTGCTTTATCAACATGACAGTGTAGATGCAAAGGACAGTGTAGATGCAATAACGCCTTCTGTTGACCCAACTCTGTCAACAAAAGGCGTTATTCCTTATAGAATGAGGTTTACAGCCTTCGACAAAACTGCTGAGTTCTGTTGACGTTATGGCGACAGAACTCAGTGGCAGTGTAGACGCAGGTATAGTTTTGTCGACAAAAGTCCACCCTATAGTCTAGACACACCCAAGTATTAGGACAAATTTGGCTCCTCTGCACATGGAAGTGGGAAGGATCTTGGGAAATACGGGTGGAGAAGCAGTTGTCAAGTGACAGCACAGTTTAACATGCCACCCAGTGTGCACTAAAACTAAGGGCATGTCTTCAATACAGGCTGCATCAACGTGCAGCAATCAATCCAGCGGGGGCTGATTTATCATGTCTGGTATAGATGTGATAAATCAACTGCAGAGCACTCTCCCCTCACTTCCAACACACCACCAAAATGAGAAGAGTAAGCGGAGTCAACAAGAGTGTGTCAGACTTACCACTGTGAAGACACCAGAGTAAACAGACCTAAGTTCACTGACCTCAGCTATGTTATTTGTGTAGCTGAAGTTGCATAACTTAGGTCAATGGCCTGCAGTAGTACAGACAAGGCCTAAGTTCCAAAGCAGCTCCAAAGAAGCCACTGTATATGTATAAAATTGCTGTGAGAGTTATGGATGCAGCAACTGTCCCTGCTCCCCCAGGGTGTTTTCGCTCATAAATATATTGTGAAGAAAGTCAAGAGAGTGCCTTAAACCCCAGTGTTTTGTACTGAATTATCGTGAAAGTGTATTAGCCTTGTCAGTTTTCTCTCAAATGAAAACCAGCTGTATTCCACCTATTGGCGAAAATATCTCAGCCCACCACATACTGCAATCTTCAGTGGCAACCACAAAACCGCAAGAGCATTTGTGTGATCCCAGATCTAAGACAGTGTTGAAGTTACTACACAAACCAAACATTGTAAAGAGCAAAGGAGTCTGTATAAACGCGGCTCTGAAAAGGAGTCAGAGGGCAGCCAAAAGAAAAATAAAAAATAACAGATAAGGGACTTGGAGTCTAAACCAGCATGTTAGACTGGAAGAAAAGAAATGTGTAGGCATATTCTCCAGCAATGAAGCAAAAATTGCAATTAAGTAATAATTCATATACTGTAATGCTTCAAATACTCTTAAGCTGTATAAGATGTATAGCTCATTAAGGGTACGTCTACACTACATGCCTCTGTCGGCAGCTGATCAGCTGTTTGTCGGCTCGCCGCTAGTCTGGACGTTCCCCCTGTCGACATCAAAGCCCTTTGTCGGCAGGCCCGTTATTCCTCGTGGAATGAGGTTTACCGGGGCTGCCGACAAAGGGCTTTGATGTCGACAGGGGGAACGTCCAGACTAGCGGCGAGCCGACAAACAGCTGATCAGCTGTTGGTCGGCTCAGCGTGGCAGCCATGTAAATGTAAATGAAGCCGCGATCATTTAAATCGTGGCTTCATTTACCTTTGCCTACAACCCTAATCTACATGCCTCTGCCGACAGAGGCATGTAGTGTAGACACAGCCTTAATGTGACTGGCCCATCATCCCAGGAGACACCATATTAGAGAGGACACCAACTGGCTTTATGTTTTAGTGAAAGCATTATATATCTCACGATCAGGTAGTGGATGAGTTATGAAATTAAAACCTAGGTTACACCCATCCAAATGAGTGAAGAACGCACAAGTTGATTGGCCAATCACACTGACCTCTTGGAGTTACACTACGACTTTGCAATGAGAGGGGATTATCTTGTCAAGTCCCTTTATTTCTGATAGGCAAAAGGTTCCACTTCTGAAGAACCACTTCTTGTTGCACACAGAGTGACATTCCAGCACCATTGAAGTCAGTGGCAAAAAATCATTGACTTCAATAGAGCCAGAATATATCTTCCATTCTTGTTACATGCACTGCTTGCTGCCTCTGTGCAACCTAGGAAACAATCCTGATTTGATTGATATACAAAGGTGTACAAAGGGCAAATCTGATGTACACATTCACAAAGGGTTCGGGGTAGAATTTGGGGTGCCTATAAAGAGTGATGCAAATGGCATAACAAGTCTAATTCTCCACTGCTCTGTGCCCTGTGCAGGTACCTGCACCAATGCCAAGCATCTGCGAAATTCTAGGGTAGCGCTGTACATGCTGTGCCCTCCCTTTGTGTTGGTGGAGATGATGGCATAAGGGGCAAGGCAATGGGAATCGGGTCCGATGACAGCGATTTGTACTGCTTAGGCATTGAGTGTTCCAGTTACACCCCAACAGAACGGGAGGCTAGGCAAGAAAGGTGACCCAAAGAAGAATGTGGTCAACTGTAGGCCCTATGCTATCTTACCTTAAAGCCTCCTGTTCATTGATTTCCCTGCTGAAACCTCCTTCCATGGTCCCACCACAAAAAGTGCCAGGCCCAACCTTAGGATTAATGGGGCCCTACACAGTACTATTAAACTAGTGTCCCAGCTATGCGCTTTGGCAGCCAGGGTTTGGTGGGGCGCTGATGTCAATTTATAGAGGTGATTTTATCATTTTCAGCAACACACTCATGAACTATTTTTAACGCAAATTTTAAACTAAGATCCTGTCGACTAACACAGTAAATTCAGAAATTCACCGTACATATCTGGCTGTTAGATGGTTTTGTTGCCACTTGATTGGCTCTTTCACAGGTTCAGTGGTCTGCCAATTGGTCTGGCAGGCTTTGTCACTTTTAAGTTAACTAGGTTCTCTCTGAAGGAAGCAGAGCCACGGACCAGGGACAGGAAGAGGCAGGTGAGTGGATATTAAGACCCAGGGGTGCCCCAAATTTTCGGGTACGCCATGCAGCTGCTTAATCTGGCTCTAGCTCAGGACGGCTCTGAAAGGTATCACTCTTTTTTGCACACTCACCGACTCCCAATTCAGCGCAAGTTCCGTTATTTTATCACTCGCGGCCTTTCACTGACCAGTTCTCCCATTGCTCTTGACATCACGGCAGAAAGTTGGCTCCTATGGCTTCAAGTCATCGCTATTTAGGTAGCGTTACTGCTCCCCTTCAAACACAATCTTGCTTTACAAGGAGCAGCCTGCACTGGAAGGGATGCACAGTGTAGCACCCCACAGGAAGCCCTGGGAAAGGTGTCTTCATTGCAAGACTAACACCCCTACTGCTATCTCCCTTCTAATGGCTGCAGCAGCATCCATCCAGTTGTCAAAGTGCTCCCAGTGATTAAAAATAACCACTCCGTTCCATATCAAAAGGCATTAAAAGGTGCCTAGGTTCCTCTCTATGCAGACCCTGAAAGCCATATCCTGCTATCAGTTTATCTGCATGCCTCTCACTACCATTAACAGGAGCCCAATGCATGGAACAACTCTCCTTAGTAGCAATGAAATGGGTGCAAATTAGAAAGGCTTCCAGGGAGGAAGTGGGGGGAAGGGAGGAGGGGCTTTTGGGCTGTAGATCCAGGGCAGATGCTCTCCCCTCTATGCATAATGAACCACTGCGCTAGAGGTTTTAAGATAGGTGTTTTGTTTTATGGAAACCACAATAATAAATAAATAAAATGTTACATCTGAACAATGGCCATGGTGAAATATGTTAGTAGAGTCTGTCCAGTTCTCAGCCTACAGCTGTGGTCTTCGTTGACAGTGCCACCACAATAAATAACCCCCTGCTTGCTAGCTCAGCTAATGAGTCAGGAAACTGAACTGCACTGCGACTAGCCCTATCGATGGTCCCTGTAGGCCACTTTTGAGGCTCTTTGGCCTAGTTGATGGAGAAGGTCAAAGGGCTCTTGTCTGTGTTATGCCTGTCTGGTAGGTAGATGATGGAGAGCTTCATTCCCCAGCCTGTCACTTCACCTGCACTAAATTCTGAGTCAGCAGGCTTCATTCACTTCTAATTTTCACCAGCAGAACTCCATTGATTTCTGTGGCCTTCTCCCCCAGCTCATGTTACACTGGGGCAGCTGAGAAGTGAATCAGATCCACTCTTGTTAAAGGAGGAATCTAAACATACAAACCTGTCACTTACCTCTCTTTGCAACATTACTGATTCTAGACCTAGACCTTTGACGTCTGTGGGCTTTGGATTTCTATGCTTCCCAAGTTCTACAGAGGAAAAAAATCCCATGGGTTCACATTATCTCCAGGGATTTTTGTTGAAATGTCACAACCTTTTGGCATTCATCTTGTGAGTTAAATGGCCAAATGTAACCCTTGAAGGAAACCAGAGAGCTCCCCCTGACTTGAGTAGATGCTGTAAATCCAAGAGCTTGCCCTACCCTTCAGTTTTTTTCTAAAGAACCACTGTGATCCATAGAGTCTTGCAAATACCAGTGAGATCCATTTGACATCTGGTGTAGGGGAAGCTGGAGCACAAGCATAGGGGAGCCCTGAGCTTCAGGGGCCAGATTCAGGCAAGCTGGTGGCTGCTTCCAGCCCCCAGGTCTTATGTTCCCCACCCCAATATACACACAGTGCTCTCACAGTGAGGTTATGTCTAAACTGCAGGCTTCTTTCAGAAGAAGTTTTTCCAGAAGAGATCTTCAGAAAAAACTTCTTCCAAAAGACAGCGTCCACACTGCGAAAGCCCATAGAAAAAGCGAGCTGCTTTTTCGACAGATAGCGTCCGCCCTGAATGGATGCTCTCTCGTATGTATGCTGTGATTACTATGGGCGGAATGGCCACCAGGGCACCCGTGCTTTCTCCTCTTACTTCTTCTTGCAAAAGAACTACCTCTTCCCCATCCATACATGCTTTTTTCTGAGAGCTCTGTTGGAAAAAGCCTTCTTCCTCATAGAAAGAGGTTTACCAATGTCAGAAAAAACCCTCAGTTCTTTCGATTTTTTTTTTCAAAAGAATGCGATTGCAATGTGGATGTAATTGAAGTTTTTTCCGAAAAATGGCCATTTTTCTGGAAAATCTCTGCAGTATAGACATACTCAGAGATAGGGTATCGGTACGAATGTGGATGCAGATGTGGATATGTATAAAAGTGAAGCACATATGGCAGGTCATATACAAGTCAATCATTGTGGATTGGATGAGGATCCAAATTTTGATATCTATGCAGGGCGCTAGCTGCAGAAACTGCAGGTTGCTAATGGCTAGGCAGATATCCATCCGGATTTGCTATTTTTATTAATATTTATATTTATATCTTTAAAAAAAATCCCATCCAATTATGCATGTGGTTAGTCTATGCAACCATGTAGGTCTTTAAAAGTCTGTTCTTCTAGTTCCCTTCTCCCTAACTCTGAAGAATATTTGTCACACCTGCTTGTTCATGCACCTCAAGGAAGCAATTATGTCTCCCTATGTATGTGTACAGTACCAACTGCAGTGGAGCCCTGCTCTGGATTACGGCCTCAGGGCACAACCATAATATCAGTAAAGGTAACAGCATAGATGATGGAGAGCTTCATTCCCCAGCCTGTCACTTTACCCTGCGCTAAATGCTGAGACAGCACGCTTCACTCGCTTCAAACTTTCACCAGCAGAACTCCACTGATTTGTGTGGCATTCTCCCCCATCCCCTCATGTTACACGGGGGCAGCTGAGAACTGAATCTGATCCACTCTTGTGAAGGGGAATCTAACTGACACACCTGTCACTTAACTCTCTTGGCAAACATGACTCATCCTAGACCTGTGCTGGCTTGAATCCTGGGTACCCCTTTGGAGTTCTTGAGAATGGGGAAAGTCAGTAGGAATTTGGCTTTCCATGTGCAGGGCAAGCTTAGAGCGGAAGGGTGGGTGAGGTAATACCTTTTTCTGGGCTTCACACATACCTGAAGAAGGGTATGTCTACACTTGCACCCTATTTCGAAATAGGGATGCAAATGTAGGCATTCGAAATAGTCAATGAAGCCGGGATTTAAATATCCTGTGCTTCATTAGCATAATTGCATCTGGGCACTATTTCGAAATTGAGCTATTTCAAAATAAAATGCCCTGCGTAACCATGTTATTTCGAGAGAAACCCCTTTTCTTGAAATAACTGGTAAACCTCATTGTATGAGGAATAACAGTTATTTCGAGAGAAGGGTTTTCTCTCAAAATAACACGGTAACATAGGGCATTTTATTTTGAAATAGCGCCTGGACGCTTTATGCTAATGAAGCGTGGGATATTTAAATCCCGGCTTCATTTACTATTTCGAATACCTACATTTGCCGTCTTTTCAGTCCATTCCAAAACCAAACCTTTGAAATCTTGAGCGTTGCCATGAAACAGAATTGTCATCCTCCCGGCAGCCCTAAATCATGCCCTAAGCATGGGTCTGAACCAGACCATTGGAGGCAAATCCCTCAAAAGCTGGTCTGGATTTGAACTCTCCTGCCTTGGGCCCGTCTCTGCCATGATCTGTCATTGACACTATGTAGATTTATATCCTGGCACTATGCATCTTTTTGGTTTAAATTAATTAAAAAAAAATAAAAACATGTAAAAAGAGCTGGTGATTTCTGTATCTTTTTTAAAAGAAAAACAAAAAGCGATACCTTCAGCATCGAGCGATCGCAGATGTTCACTGGTTTTTGTTCATTGTCTTTTTTCCCCCCTTTCTTCCAAAGCAAATCGATGAGATCTGGCGTGAAATGAGATGGATCACAGAGGCACTGCAGTATGCCAGGTACAAACAGCTAGTGGCTGGCTTGTCCAA